TGGGGCAGCGCTTGGGCCTGACACCCGATCCGCAGCTAAATAATAAATGAGCGGCTGCTGCGCAGCGGCTGCTCCCGCGCCCGGCCATGGCAGCGGCCCCCAGCCCCCCCAAAACCACCACCCCCCCCCCATATCCCGACCCCCCTCCCCGCTTGGGGGACCCCCTTCCCCCCACAAACAGGGACCCAGGTATCTGTGCCCCCTCCCCCCCACCTGAACCCCAAATGCACCCAGCCGTGCTGGGGGTAATCCACTGGAGCAGCCCCCCCCCCCCCCCCAACACACAGCGGGGGGGACACACGGACGGATACCCCCGGTTTGTGGCCCCCCCCTAATCTTGTTCCCCATCACACGCTGGAGAAAAACAGGAAACCAAAAAAATCAAAAAATCACGCATGGCTGGGGGTTGGCGTAACTGGGGGGGGGGACACACACACTCACCCTGCGCTGCTGGGGGGCTCGTGGGGCCCCCCCGATCATCCTCAGCACGCCAGAGGTCTGGGGGAAGAGAGAGAGAGGGGTCAGGGCACGTCGCAGCCCCCCCCCCCCCACGCCCCGAGCCAACAGTCGCCCTGCACAGGCTGAGCCACCTGTGTCACGAGTGGGGCGGGGTTCAGCGCGGGCCCCCCCCCCCCCGGCTTCCCCCTGGCAGGCTGGAGGGGAAGCGGGGGTTTGGGGGGGGGGGGGGGGGGTGTGTGTCACACATCGTGGAGGGCTCGGGGGGGATCAGGGCCAGGCTGGCCCCCGACCTGTCACTGGTCACGAGTGGCCGCAGACACCGCGAACCCGTCACCCCGTCGGCCAAAGTCCCGAGTGGGACGTGGAGGCGGGGGGGGGGGGGGGGGGGGGGCGCACGAGTGGGGGGCACAGCATCCCACCCGGCTGCAACAGGGTCACCCAGGGACCCCACCCTGCAATCCGCCCCCCCGCTCCGAGCGGCACTGGCCCCCCCCCTGCAGCAGTGACCTTCACCGGCGTGGGGTGCGGGGGACACGGGTGGCCCCCCGTGGGGTGCCGGGGGGCTCTGGGGGGAAAATGGGGGGGGGGGGGAGGGAGCGGCGGATCCGACCCGACGTGGGGAACGGCTGCACCTGCCCGTGGGATAATGGGGGGGGGTGGAAATGTGCGTGCACCCCCCAAATCCCCCCCGGGCAGAGGGAGAGGCACCGTGGGCGGGGGGGGGGGGGGTCGGGGCGTGCACAGGGGTGCAGATGCTCCCCCCCCCCAAAAAAAAAAAAAGGAGGGAAAGCGCCGAGCCCTGCACCTGCAGCGGGCGGGGAGGGGGGGGGGTGTCGAGGGGGGGGCTGCCCGCAGCATCGGGAGCGACGTTTTGAGGCGGGGAGGGGGGGGGGGGGGGGTGTTCTGCCGCGCGCAGCAATGGGGGGGCTTTTATTGAGGAGGGGGCACCGAGGGCGGGGTGCGCTGCAGCGCGGGGGGGCTCTGGTTGAGGTGTGGGGGGGGGGGGGCGTAAAGCTGCACCCCAACCTCGGGGAGGGGGGGGGATGCTGCAGCGGCGCGGGGTGGGGGGGGGGGGGGTGGGGAGCTGCACCCACGCAGGGCGCGGGAGCGGCGGGGGCTGCACGGCGGGGTTGGGGGGTCCGGTAGGCGGGACCGGGGGGGGGAGGGGGGATGGTGTGTATTTTGGGGGGGGGGGGGGGGGGGGGTGCGGTGCTCTGCGGCCGCGGGGCCCGATCCTGCACTCACCTGCGGGGACGCCCCCGCCCCGCTCCGCTCCGCCGCCGCCCCGGGCCGCGCGCTCGGGGGGGTGAGGGGGGGGGGGTGGTGGTCTGGGGGGAGGGGGCGGGGCGAAGAGGAGGCCACGCCCTCCCCTCCCCTCCAGCCGCCTCTCTATTGGTCGCCACTCCCGGCAGCGGTTACCGCAGCCAAAAGATCCGCTTCTCATTGGGCCGAGCCGAGCGCGGGGAGGGGGGGTTGATTTGCATTTTTAAAGCGGCAGCCTGCCACACACCAGCACACCCCCCCCCCCCCCCCCTTCCACCCCCAACCAGTTTCGGGGTGGGTGGGTGTGTGGGTGGGTGTGTGTGGAGGGGGGCGATGCGGGGCAGGACCAAACCTACCCGCACCTGCACCCCGCGGCTCCCACCATCCCTGGTGCTGCCACACCCCCCCACCTGCCGGGGGGCTCCCGGTGCTGCTAACCCCCACACACACACTCCCCCCCCACACACACACACACACTTTCCACGACTGTAAACGGCCCCCCCCCCGGTGCAGCCTCCCCCCGCCCCCGGTGCCACCCGGTGCCTCGCGCCCCGCTGAGCTCATGCCCCGGCTCCGGCTGACACCGGGGTGCAGCTGCGGGGGGGGGGCGGTGGGTGGGGAGCAGCCGGGCAACGGAGAGGGGGACCCGGGGAGTGTATGTGTGGGGGGGTTGCCACAAAGAGGCCCCCCTGCCAAGATAGGGACCCCCCCACACACACACTCCCGGGGTGCCACAGCCACCGGTGTCGGCGTGGGGACAGTGCGTCACGCGGTGGCTTCGGTTACGGGTCCCTTTTGTCCCACGACACCTTTGCCACGCAACCCCCCGGTGCTGGGGACAGAGCGGGGGTCCACCGGGACCGGGCCGCTGCCCGTGCTGCCAAGTGCTGCACCGTCGCCTCTGTGACCCCACAGGTGTGTCCCCCACCACCAACCACCCCCCCAAGCGCGGTGGCAGCCGCCGACGGGGCAGCAACGCTGGAGAAGCCCCCGGTGTCCTGGGTCACCTCACACAGCCCAAAGCCAACCGAGACCCTCATCGTGCCGGGCCGGGGGGCTCGGAGGGGTCTGGTGGGACGGTGACAGTGGCAACGCTGGGAAAAGCCCCAGGCCCCCCCGCTCCGGCACCGGCCTCCTGGTGAGTGAACCCCCCCAGCAGCACCCCAGGAGCCCCCTCCCCAAGCTGCTGCCACGGCCCTTCCCGAGCTGGGGGGGGGGCTTTTTGGGGTGTGTGGGGGGGTTTGGTTCCCTGATCCTGCCAGGCGCAGGCTGACCACA